CACTTTTCGATAGAGTTTTATACCTATTTCAGCATTTAGTGGTTTTCTTTCTGGACAGATCTGCATCTAATCCATTTTAACCCTCACCGTGCAGGCTGATTTCATCTGCATCTCAGTCCTGTAATGACAATCATTTAGTTGGAATTTGACACTTCTTTCTTTTACTAATCAATTTTCAGAGCTATATATTAATTCCTTTTTTGTCCTAATATGTGTTACTGTCTTTTGGCTAACAATTATTTCCTAAGGCAATCCCATTAAACTAGTTGTTTATACAATTTTGATGCACTTTTTTATCAGCTGACTAAAACTTACTGCATGTTTTGTAAATTTCTTTTTGCTCTGTTTTAATTAGTATTCCTTAATATTTTCTTCTAATTATTTTTCACATATGTTTTCATGTAAAACATTATCTTTTTCTTAAACACTTTTCTCTTTCAATTTGTTTTATAGTAATTTAGAACTGTTACTTTTTGACCTTATCATATCGTATGAATTAATTTCAATTGTTGTTTCAATCTTCTCTTTAACTATAAATAATTTTTCTAAATTTGAATCTCTTTCCAGTTTTCAATATCCAATCTTGATTTAGGCCATTCACAATAAGATTGTGTTAAGATATTTCCTTTACTTAGTTTTAGTTTAAATACTTAATTCCATTCTTATTTATTCTCCAAATTATTTATTGCCTTATCAAAAGCTTTTTCTCTTTTTCTTTAGTCAATCTGCTGCATTGTAATTTATCCTTCAATGTTTAAGGACTTTTATGATTAAACCTATTAAAACTTAAACCTAAATTATTTAACATTCATCATAATATACCATTCAATATTTAAAGTTTAATCTTAAAATTACCTTATAACACTTTTTCTTAAAAATTTGCATGATCATAATTTCTCTCAAATTGACAGGAGTCTGATTTGATACAAGAATGGGTAGCTAAACTTTGTTCTTAATTTTCCTTCTGTAATGCTTGAACTTAATTTGGACTTTAGGAGCTACTTTGAGATGGACTGTCAGACTATCCCCCCTCGCAACCTGAGACAACTATAGCTCACAGATTGGTGCTTCTGTGGTGTCCTGAAATTTCTTCATATCAGGGCAGTGTTTCCCCCTCTCTCTTTGGGCTGGCTTCTTTCTTTGACTGTAAAGTTCTGGTGGAGCATTTTTTCTTTGATCAGTTCATCAGTCTCTTGTTAGTGTCTCTTTTGAATGTCTCTGAACAAATGTAGCTTTTTCAGTCCTCAGTAAATCCTGAGCAAAAAGTTCATGTCACAAGTGTCCACAGCCATTTTGCTCTGTGTTTTTCAAACACCTTTCCATTTGCCAGTGCACTCAGATGTCTGGTAGGTACGAGACTACAGTCCCCCAAAGTTCATCCATATGTCCTCTTAATTAATATATATAGAATTTAGCTCATGACTCTTTTTTTTTCCCCCATTTTTTCCTTCATCAAATAAAGACTCCTTTTATCCATTTTTTTATTAATTAATTTATTTATTTATCCATTTTTGTTTGCTGTTTAACAACTTATTTTTTCTAATTCTCAATCATTTTTATCATATGTAAATATGCTTAATTTTCTATTTGTTAAATGTTCTTATAATTAATTTCTTTGGCTTCAGATTGTGCTTCACTTATTTTTCCTAATCTTATTCTAGTGTTTCCTCACTAGTTACATTACATCTTACATTATTTTAATTTCTCTAACATTTCCATACCTGTTTTAATTCAACAGTACTATATGGTGGCCTAATGTCTAATATACCTGTTCAATATCCTTACTGCAATAGCTAGAGTTCATATTACTATTTTAACTCCACGTGTTTGTTTACTTTAAGCATTTTTCCTATCTGAAATGCAATTTTTAATTTTAAATTAATTTTTAGGTACATAAAATATTAATTATACAATTTTTTACCTCACTCTACACTGTAAAAAATAAAAAGTTGAGTAAACTTAAAATTCTAAAGCAACCGGCTGCAAAAAAATTTTGAGTTTACTCAACTTCAGTGGTTGAAGTTGTGCCAAATTATTTTTTTAAGTTGACTGAAATGGCTGGTTTAAGTCATGACAACTTTCAAGCCTAAGTTTATCTAACTTGTCATTATGAGTTTGCCTAAAATTAAACAGGGGTTGAGTAAACTGTAATAAATGAGTTGGCACAACTTAACAGAAGTTCAGTTAACTCAAAGCTGTGCAGCTGGTTGCCTTAATTTTTTAAGTTGATTTAATCTTTATCTTTTAATTCATAATTTTATGGAAATCTTATATCTGCGCTTCTCAAACAAATACCTGTATGACTCTAAGTATGAAGTTAAGAGATTACAAAACACACTATAAAACACAATATCAAAAAAAATATTTATTGACAATTCTGCAAACAGCTTTCTGTCCAAATGAAATGTACTGCAGTCCAGTGAAGGAAAAGAGGCAACAAAAAGGTAAATCCTCAAATCCTATATTGCCTTTTAAGTGCTCGAGTTAAGCAATAGTAATATTTAAAATGCTTGCACTATCAACATTTTTTTCAAAGTGCAAAAGTAATTCGTTTTGTCACGATATTTTAATTTTGTTACCCATCAGTTCTATAATTTTAAAAACGTCCATTTCCTGCTAACATTTGAGCGTTGTTGACCATGTTTTAAACACTGTTATATTGCCATTGTGTTCACATGCTCAACAGAAAAGACTGATTGGGCGTGAAGATCATCAGTTCACCAAACTCTCTGCTGTTTACTGAGTGTAACCACAGATACAGGGACACTTAAGAATTTCACATTGATCAACTCCTCTGTGTATAAGCTGACACAAGTGTTACGCTGATGGATCGACTATGCGACATTTTGAAACACTCCAGTTTGTGTGTGTGTGTGTGTGTGTGTGTGTGTGTGTGTGTGTGTGTGTGTGTGTGTGTGTGTGTGTGTGTATCTGTGTTTGCACTCCATGAACATCAGTGAAGAGCAGTGAAATGGTGAACTTCTCAGCCAATCACAGTCATTTATGTTGAGCGCTTGAACACAACAGCCAATCTATCAATTGGTGGGAAATGGATGTTTTTAAAATTTGAAAATGTAAAATCAAAACTGAATTTAAGTTTGGTGACAACACCAAGAGTAACACTATTTCAGTGTACAAACAAATGCATTTTGTTTTTGAAAGACTGGACTCTTGCTGAGCACTGAGGATCAAGGCCAATAAACACTTTCTGAATAGTTTCAAAGATGTGTTTCAGTTCTTTGTGGTAGTTCATAATGAGGAAATTAATCAAACCAAAGAGGAGAACAACAGCTGTTGGAAGATCTTTACCAGCACGATTTGCTCTCCCAGAACCACAGACAGGCACCTTACATTTAGGTTGGTCTGAAGAGTGGCAACATCATCTTCAACAGTGCTAAGGATGTCCATCTCCATCTCTTTTGTGCAAATATCTTCTGGCTCTGTGTCCTGCAGTAAAAAGAAACATAAAAAGAGGATGAAAAACATTTTTACTGCTAAATCACAAACATCTCCAAAAAGCAAGGTAAAAAAAAGCAAAGGCAAAGCAACTTAATTTGGAAACTAAAGGTAGTAATGTCAGTAACACAGTCATTTATATACCTTCTATTTATAAAACTTTTCAGGTAACACTTTTATAATAATGAATCATTTATTAAGCATTAGCAAATAGTGAATTGATTATCCGTTAAGCATCAACTCTACATGAATAAACATTAGTAAGCTATTTAATAAGTACTAGTATCTAATAAATAAGTACTAGTATCTATTAAATAGATACTAGTACCTGATGAATAAGAACTAGTATCTAATACATAAGTACTAGTATCTATTAATTAGGTAGTAGCATCTCAGTAACAGGTACTAGTACCTAATGATTAACTACTAGTAGATAAAAATATGCACTAGTCACAGCTGGAATACATACTAGTCAAAACTGAATAGTTGATATCTCAATTAGAGATCCCATAGAAATGAATGGGAAAATGTTTAATTCATTACGAGTAACAACAGAATAGTAACTAGTCACTATTAAAATAAGTACTAGTAACTAATAAATAAGAACTAGTATCTATTTAATAAGTACTAGTAACTAATAAATAAGTACTAGTATCTAATAAATAAGTACTAGTAACTAATAAATAAGAACTAGTATCTATTTAATAAGTACTAGTATCTAATAAATAAGTACTAGTATCTAATAAATAAGTACTAGTACTTAATGGAAAAGATACTAGTATCTAAAATATAAGTACTAGTAACAAGAAAATAGATACTAGTACGGGCTATAGAATAAAAGTTAAAACGGCTTGCCATAGGTCATTAGCTATTGTCACATTAAACCAGATGCTCTGACCCTGAGAGATGACAGGTGGCACCACTTTACAATTGCAGGGCATTAATTATGGTTATTCACAGGTTAGTCATTTTCATCAGAAATTCCCAACATGTTTTAATTATTAAAAATGAAATTTGCTTTATAATTATTGTTGCAGCACCTGTTTTCACTCCCTGGTCAGCCGGACTCAGTCATGGTTGTTCTACTAAAGACTAAGTGATGAAAATGTAGCATCCTTTACTGAGGTGAAAACAGTGCTACAAACTTTTCTTTTAGGGAACAAACTGTTTTGTAACTTCAAAGATTAATTACCTGCATGAATTCCAATATTGCACACAAAAAGAGAAACTCCATGGTAAACTCCATAAAGTTTAATATGCCCTTCTTTAATCAGTGATATGATTGAATGCTAAATAATTACTTGATTGTCCAGTTGGTCCAGGGCGGTCCTTATTATCTCTCCATATCGCCCACCACATGATCCATAAAACTTGATAGCGTATTCATCCGAAAAAGAGAAGGTATCTTTGAGGTTGGTTTGAGTAATCCTGTAAAACTCAGCATAGACCTACAAACAGACCATAAAAAAATGAATAGTATGAATTGTGAACAAGGGTTATACATTTTGAAATAAATAATCTTAAATGCAAACTTGCCTAAACTCCCAAAAACATGTAGGCCACTGTTTTCGGACATCAGCTACAGGAGGTTAAAAAAATCAAATAGTCAGTAACTGCAGCAGACTGTTAATGTGCTAATGTCAAATGTGATTTTAATGCACCTACAGTCTTTAAAGTGCAGAAGCAGTCTGCGAACAAACAAGGCTGCTGCCAGGATGGTCCTTGATAGCGATGTAGCCTGTAGTGTAACTTCTCAGCTACTGTTTACAAATTTGCAAAACTTACACTGCATTCCAAACCTATAAAAAAGTAAATAAAAATGTAACATTGCAGGTCAAATTGTTTTCATAAATTAAACTGATGTTTTTAAAAAGCACAATATAAAATAAATATTGCAAACATAAAAAGAGAAGATTTAAATAATACATACATACATGTTACTTAACTCATAAATGGTTAATGTATGCCAAATAAATAATCATAAAAACCACAAGCTCCTGGAATACTATATGTACTGTACACTACTAGTGACTGTATATTTAAAGTGGTATGCTAAATATTATTTTGAAGTGGTTTTAATGTTATCGCATTGCTGTTTTAATACAGACACAACAGGGTTAACAATACAGTGGTGACCGGCCGCTCAGATATGTCTGTTTGCAACAACAATATTTCACTACATTTCCCTCCAGTTTAAGAAGCAAATTAACGTTAAACAGTCCTTCAAATGAAGCAAACGTCACAGGTGGCTAGCTTGTTAGCCCGAGCTTGTCAGAAATGATCTTCACACGATGTAACTTAGTTTTTTGGGAACATAACATTACATTTTACTTTAGATTTGCACGCTATTTAGATTAATTTTGATAATAAAGCTAAAACAAAGCTTACCTGAATCAGGAGATGGCAGCTGCTGCTGGTGAGAGGACACCTCGTGCAAAATGGCACCCGAAGACAGACTGAGCATGTGCAAAGACGGGAAGTAGATGATCCAGTGAAGAACTCAAAATGTAAAGTCTGCTCAACTTAAGTATTTACTTTCATTGAACAAACCAGTTTTACACCTTCAGTTAACTCATTTTTAAAAGTAAACTCAACACTGAGCTCAAAATATGTCCACCCAACTTACAATTTTGATTTGAGTTAGCAATTTGCAAGTTGGATTTTTTACAGTGTATGATGTTCTTTAATGTCTCCTCATTGTCTATGCTTTACATCTGAATCACTGCTTTACTACAAATAGCTGTTGGCTCAGATGACAGCCTGTAGCTGACTTTAAAACAGATGACAACAGTCAACTTACACCACAACAATTTTTTATTGCACTTAAACATAATTTTATCTTTTAAAGCCAAATCTTAGTTTCTTCAAAATGTTACTGTTTTTTCTAATTTTTATTTTATCTGTTTAATATATATATATATATATATATATATATATATATTAAACATCTTCTCTTTTTATTCTATTAAACAAAGTTTGGACTTCTTTTTTCTCCATTTTCCTATGCTTCTTTTCCCTTTCAAAAATTAGCATTTTTGTCTCTTAGATTTTCCTAATTCATTTTTCTTTAAACTTATTTTCCTTAAACATTTGATCATTATCTCTTTCATTAATAAATATTCATTAAATTTTTCCTCTTCTCTAGTTTTTTCTTTACTCAAATTATTGACATCTATTTTTGATTCATACTGATTTAGTAAATTTATTTCCTTATTAATATATCAATTTATCTCCATATGTAGTTAGTTCTATGCTTAATTTTTTTTTAAATTTCTTAATATTTATTAGTCTAACTTCCAGTTGTATTTTTATTAACACTTTTTATTTATAAAATCTTATTCAACCATGAATATTTTTTTATTTCATTTATCTTATTACATTACTTTATAATATTTCTATTTATTTAATACCTTATAATATATCTTGACTCTTTAGCTTCTATCTGTCCTGTGAAACTTTTGTTCTTAAAATAGATAGATTCTTACCACTCCTGAAGCAGACCTTCTTCCAGACTGTCGACATGTCAGGAATTTCAGTCCCCTCTCTGCCTAGTTCATACTTAAAACCACTTTAAACACACAGAGATTATTCAGAAAAATGTTTAACTAGTATTTCCCCTTCTAGGGAACTTCAACACTGCGTCTAACCAGAACGCTAGGGGAACACCTCTTTTATACGCGTCTTGAAGCACATGTGAAATCAATCTAATGTAATTAAGCAGGTGTCGTCAGACCAGAGAGTATAAAAGCCTGTACTGAGCATTCAGTATCAACTTCTTTGCTTTCAAGAAGCACGCACGTGAAAATACACCCTCTTTCTGTGAACTTTCATTACTGATTTGCATACACAAAATACAAAAAAACTGACAACTTACTTTTTTATTTTGGTATGGCAGAGAAAAACTTTAAACGTTGTGTGCCTCCATGCCCTCGCTTTATTACGGCTGGTGACTCACATGATTTGTGTTTAGAGTGTTTGGGAGAAGAGCATGCCCTGGTAGCATTTGAGAATGCTGACTGTGGACACTGTGACGTTCTCTCCCGTAAAGAGCTGCGCAATCGGAGAGAGTTCTTTAATAAAGCTCCCGTGGCGTACGCTCCTCGCGGTTCGGGTCCCGCTCGTGCTGAGGCTGAGCGTCGACTTCGGTCGTGGGGTTCGCAGCTAGATCTGGCGGATGAGATGGAGACGGACTCTGTCCTTTCTCTCTCTGGATCCGTGAGATCTAATCCTCCTTTGGGAGCGTCAGAAGCACGCTCTGCGGTTTCTTCTGCGCCTCGTGGGAGGGCGGCGTCCTCCGTTTCCGAGGAAACCGAGGCGCCGCAGCAACAAATAAAAAGAGGGTCGGGGAATCTGCCGCCCCAGTCAGTGGAATATGAGGAGTTAGTGGAGGTGATTTCACGTGCTGCTGACAGGTTCGAAGTAATAGATTGGCAGCCAGCACGTGAGCAGCAGCAGCTGCGTCTGACAGGAATGCTGGATGAGAGAGAATTACCCAGCAGAGTAGATCCTCCACTAAGGGACCTCCCCTTTTGTCCCGAGCTACATGATGCGGTTTCTAAATCATGGAAAAATCCGTATTCAGCATGGTTAATGACACCAAAAACAGCTATTTATTCAGCAGTTCGTGGGCTAGGGGAAAAGGCATGTACAGTAATGCCAATGATAGAAGAGGACTTAGCGTGTCATCGTCGTTCAGATCTAAAATCTGCAAGGGTCCCTCCTTTGTTGTCGAGACCATTAAGATTAACATCGGGTCTAGTCAGTAAAGCATATATGACGGCTGGTCAGGCTGTTGGATGCCTGCACACCATGTCAGTGCTGCAGGCATATCAGGCTGACCTAATTAAAGAGTGCCTAGATGGTGGGGGAGCAACACCCGAACAGCTTCGAGAAGCTCTTCGGGCGTCAGATCTAGCTTTAAGAGCTACTAAAGAGGCAGCCTCTAGTTTGGGGCGATCTATGGCTACCCTTGTGGCTACTGAGCGGCACCTCTGGCTGACACAAGCAGAAGTGTCAGAAACCGATAGAGCTATTCTTATGGACGCTCCAATATCGAGCTCAGGGCTCTTCGGTGACGCCGTTGATCGCGTCGCCGAATCCCTCGACAGAGTTAAAAAACGCTCTAGCTCCCTCGGGGACTTTCTCCCCCCAAGATCAAAAAGTCAGGGCCAGCCGTCAACCAGCTCCTCATATCATGAAGTACAAAGGATAAAACTAAGTCCTGACGTGTTGGGAGTCAGGCTTTCCAGGGCCCCCCCTGGACACCGAGAGCACCATTCAGCGCTCTCACTGAACCAGGGTCCGCGGAGAAAGGGAGAGACCACCTCACCACGTATGCTGGTGGGGGGCTCTGTGTCTCCCGGGGTGGGCGTTCCTCAGTGTCTGAGGGCATTGGGGGCCCCACCCCCTCTGCAGGGGGGTCAAAGAACAACCAGAGGCCAGTCTCGAGAGGCTGGTACCCCTAGCACATTTTTTGGCAGCGTGGAAACACCTGCCGATGGTGTCCCAGTGGGTCCTGTTCACAGTAGAACACGGCTACAAAATACAGTTTTGTGCACTCCCACCTCGCTTCAACGGTATTGCACCCACCATAGTGAAGCCAGAACAGGCTCTGGTTATGGAACAGGAAGTACTGGCCTTATTAATAAAAGGCGCAATAGAGCGTGTTCTCCCACTCGACAAAGAGTCAGGGTTTTACAGCCGGTATTTTATAGTTCCCAAAAAGGATGGGGGATTGCGTCCCATATTAGATCTGAGAAATCTAAATCGGTCCGTCGAGGCCCTCAGGTTCAGGATGTTAACCATCAAAAACGTGGTGTCACAAATTCAGTCCGAGGACTGGTTTGTGACGATAGACCTGAAAGACGCATACTTCCATATTTCCATCCTTCCCCAACACAGGAAATACCTGAGGTTCGCTTGCGGGGGCGAAGCGTTCCAGTATCGTGTTCTTCCATTCGGCCTAGCTCTGTCACCTCGAACCTTTACCAAAATAGTCGAAGCGGCACTAGCTCCACTTCGTATGCAGGGGATACGTATCCTAAACTACATAGACGATTGGCTAATTCTAGCTCAGACTCAAGATATGGCAGTTCGGCATCGAGATGTCATTCTCACCCATATCAGAAGGTTGGGGTTTCGGTTAAACACCGCAAGAAGTGTGCTTGTTCCAGCCAGGACGACCATTTCTTTAGGTGTGCTATGGGACTCCATGACGATGCGAGCACGTCTGTCCCCGCCATGAATCGCTTCGATTCAGTCAACCGTACACAGAGTCAAACTAGGCCAGTTCATCACTGTGAAACATTTTCAGAGGTTGTTGGGTCTCATGGCAGCAGCAGCCAGCTTGATTCCGTTCGGTCTGCTGTACATGAGACCCCTGCAGTGGTGGCTCAAATCCAGGGGGTTTTCCCTCAAGGGGAATCCTTTCCACATGATCAAGGTCTCGCGGCGCTGCCTTCGAGCCTTAAGTATGTGGAAAATGCCCTGGTTCCTGTCCCAGAGCCCAGTGTTGGGGGCTGTCTGTCATCGCGTCATGCCTATGGCAAATGCTTCTCTGACGGGCTAGGGAGCAACGGGCTTGATCCGCATGATCAAGGTCTCGCGGCGCTGCCTTCGAGCCTTAAGTATGTGGAAAATGCCCTAGTTCCTGTCCCAGGGCCTAGTGTTGGGGGCTGTCTGTCATCGCGTCATGCTTATGACAGATGCTTCTCTAACGGGCTGGGGAGCAACCCTGAGGGGGCTTCCCGCAGCGGGACGATGGGGAGAACATCATCGTTACTGGCACATAAACTGCCTGGAGATGATGGCCGTGTTTCTGGCCTTAAAACACTTTCTCCCAGATCTAAGAGGCCATCATGTTTTAGTCTGCACGAACAACACATTGGTGGTCGCTTACATCAACCAGCAGGGGGGTCTGAAGTCTCGAATGCTATGCAAACTAGCACATCGGATCCTCCTGTGGGCCCAGAACAAAATCCTGTCCATCAGGGCAATGTATGTCCCGGGCCATCTGAACATGGGAGCAGATCTCCTGTCGAGGCAGGGGGTGAGATCCAGGGAATGGAAACTTCTTCACCCCGAGGTGGTGGAGTCCATTTGGGAAAGATTAAGGAAAGCGCAGGTAGACCTGTTTGCTTCCCAAGAGACCACGCATTGCGTACTATGGGTTTCTCTCTCGCATCCAGCCCCTCCGTGACTGGTTGCCATGGTTCAGACATAGCCGAGGCTACGTCTGTATGCTTTTCCCCTGATCGCTCTGCTCCCAGGAGTCCTGGAGAGGGTCCGTCAAGACTGAGTACGGTTACTGCTGGTAGCCCCGGTTTGGCCTACCAGGATTTGGTTTTCGGACCTCATAGCCCTGCTGGCGGGTCTCTCGTGGGAGATCCCCATCAGCAGGGACCTTCTGTCCCAGGGGGGAGGAATGATACTTCATCCCCTACCCGACCTGTGGAAACTGTGGGTGTGGCCTCTGAGGGGGCCCACCTCATAGAGTATGGATTGTCAACCGAGGTTGCTCAGACCATTCTAAGCTCCAGGGCTCCCTCCACAAGGAAGCTTTATGCCCTAAAATGGGCTCTCTTTTCAGCTTGGTGCAGAGAACACCAGCTGAACCCAGTCAGCTGCCAGTTAGCCTCAGTGCTGGAATTTCTCCAAGATCGCCTGTCTGCTGGGTTAGCTGCATCCACTCTGAGAGTGTACGTGTCAGCTATAGCGGCCTACCGTTCTCCCCTAGATGATGAGTCACTAGGACAGGATCCGCTAATTCGTTGCTTCCTTCGTGGAGCCATAAGGCTAAGGCCTGTCAGCACACACAGGGTACCGACATGGGATTTAACATTGGTGCTCGAGGGCATCTCTGTTCCCCCATTTGAGCCACTGCAGGAGGCGTCAGATAAGTTTCTGACAC